AGACTGGAAAAAAGTGCTTCTGAAAAGCATTCACATAGCAGCATTCACTGATCTTCCTGCAGCCCAGGAGAAGCCTGGTAAGAATGAGAAAGAATAGGAAGAGTAAGTGGGTTCTTGCTGAGTCCCCAGTACAGAGGTGCCTGTTCGGAATGGGGTGACTCAGCCCATCCAGATGGCTTTACTTGAGGTCCATGAACTCTGGGCAGAAACCTCTGCACCTACTAACCTAAACAGTGTCTTTCTTCATCTTTGCTTTTTTTCACTTGTCCGTCATAGCAGAGTATTAGTCATGGGTCTGTGAGAAGGAGTTGGAAAGTGGTTCTTTAGAGAGCAGGCATCAAAAAATGGAGAAAAGTATATATGTTCACCATCACCTCCCCTTGGAATTGTATAGGAGACTGCCTCCCCCTTCACTACCTCCTCTCTTCATTTGCTTTTTGCTTTCTTTGCCTCCAGTGCTCAATGGCTGCTTGCTAGGAAATAGTCTGTCCATGGTATTTGATGACATTTTATTCATGATACCACTTCTTGCCATTGTTGTTGTTGTGTGCCAGTCAAGTTGATCCTGACTCACCGTGACCCTATAGGACAAAGTAGAACTGCCCCACAAAGTTTCCTAGGCTGTAATCATTATGGAAGCAAATTGCCAGGTCTTTTCTCCCACAGAGAGGCTGGTGGATTCCAACCACAGACCTTTCGGTTAGCAGCCAAGCACTTAACCATTGCGCCACCAGGGTTCTTTCTCTTGCCATTAGCATATGTAATTGATAGTAGATTATACCCTTAACTCTGAAATATTAATCTTTAATATAATCACTCACTTTATTGATTATATGAAACAATTAAAAAAAAAAAATCCTGGGTTGACCTCTTCATGCCATTTCTCAGTTTCATCTATCATCAGTTTCTTTGTGCTGAAGGGAACAGTTTAATTCTCCTAAAAGTGAGCACATATTCTCTGCTGGACACTGTGCTAAGTGTTTTATCTCTTTAATTTTCAAAACACCTTATGGAGGTGGGTACTTACTGTGTTGTTCTCAAGTTATAGATAAAGAAACCAAGGCTTAAAGAAGATAAGTAAGCTGCATGAATCATTCAGCCAATTCATACCTGACTCATTGCATCTGTACAGCCCCGAGATGGAACATTCTAAAGTAAAGGGTCTTATTTGATCTCTCCTCCTCACATGATAGTTCAGATGTCTGTTTTGTAATTTGTGTCTCTTTCTAACGGGGATCAGACTTGCCGTTTCCTGGTCATAGTCTCGAACATGGAAATCCAACCACTACCACTCAACTTCACTTTTCCTTTCTGCGTTTAGAGAGCCACGACCATCTCATAAATAACGTTGAAAGCCCCTTGGGGATCTTTATAGTACAATGCAGGGAAATCACGGGGGGAAATTAGCATTTCTGCTGAATGATATTGTTTCAAAGCTATACATATAGAAATAAAAACTCTAGACACCAAGTAATCTGAAAATACACCCCATTTAGTAAGACAAGCTCCTGAAATGCTTACAATCCACTGTCATAGCACCTTAATAATTATAGAGAGCACCTTCCTTTAAGGAGCTCCCAAGTGCTTTGCAAACATTTTTCCTCACTAATTATCATACCATTTTTCTGTGGCAGGGAAGGGAACAGGATAATTTGTCCTATTTAAAATGTGGGACTGCTGATGCATCCAGTGATTAAGTAAGTTGCCCTCTGGTTACGTGGTGGCAGGGCCAGAAGCAGCGTCCTCAGGGTTTGTGGGCCACAGCCATCGACCACTGAATCTGCAGGGGCTGTGGCATAACTCTTCCCTTACAGAAGGGGAAAGGAACCCAGTGAGATGAAAACACTTAAAAAGTCCAGGGTCACAGAGATAATTAGTGGCAGAACCAATACTACCTGCATACAAATAACAGACATATATATCCAACGGAGGAAAAGGATGACAACTGTGAGTAATCAATTTATAGTAGACTTGTTTAATTGCTGCATTTTGTGTTTGGGTATGAAAGCAAAAAGGCTTCATCAGCGACCTTGCCTAGAGGGAAAACACACTCTAAAAAAGTGAAAATTTCCAACAGCAAGAATATTTTAACACAGACAAAGTTTCAGCTTTCTAGTAGCCAAAATACTGTCTGGAACTTGACACATTTCCCATTAAAGATGATAGGTGAACATGTTTTAAAAGATAGTTGGCCATCCCATCATAGCCTGTATGAACTGTACCGAAAGCATGATGATGGCAAAGACCAGCTGAATTCCAAGCGTGTTTACAGCTGACAGAAATGTTCCAACTAAGCGTAACATATCTGGACTGTCACGGTGCTCTCAGGGAATCTCTCATTTCAAAAATGTTTACCTCTGTGAACACTATGCATAGACTGAACTCCGTAGCAAACTAGGAGTGTTTGCAATGAGATTTCCAGAAATTATTCCCTTTTAGTCTAAAAGTGAAATTTTTCTCTCTTACCCTTTGAGCCTATGGAACCTACTGTCCCATAAGTGAGAATGAAGAGAAAGAAAACCAGAGAAGAGTTGAGATGAGAGGGGGCTAGGTCAAATTATTTATGAACAACTAAAGGAAAAAAGTTTAAAAATCAGTGAAGCTGATTCAGAAATTTGTGGAGTAATTCCTGAATGAAACAGCCATTTATTATGATTGTGGGCTTAAAACATATCCTTTTATGTTTGCAAACACAAAGAAAAGGTTTTCGGATGAGATAAAGATTCATAAAACAGATCACGAACGTAAATCTCTTAACACTGAGTCTGGCACATGGGAAGCACTCAGTGGTGGTGATTTTCATTGCTGTGTTACCATAACACATCAAACCTCTTCTGTTTCATAATGGAAAAAAATTGGAAACAGTCAGGCATATATTTTAAATAGAAGTTAATTTGAATTTAAGAAGTGGGTTTCCTACCCTAGTGCGTATTTCAGGTGTTGAAATATTACCTGGGGGAGTTAGAGAGGTTTGGGGTTTTAGTTCGGGTCATGGAAGAGCACATGGATGGGCTTTCTTCTCTGAGGTGAGTGCCTACATTGGGTAGCCAGTACTGGGGTGGAAGAGATGGACCAAACACAAAATGCAGCAATTAAACAAGTCTTTAAGTAAATATCAAATGAAATGTCACAGGCCCATTGACGTACAGAAGACTACACCATGTCATCATTCAGTGACTGAATATTCTTACTTACTTGACTTTTTTTTTTTTTTTTTAGATAATATTTTATTGTGTTTTTGGTGAAAGTTTACGCAGCATATTAGGTTCCCATTCAACATTTCTGCACAAATTGTTCAGTGACATTGGTTACATTCTTCACAATTCATGAAAATTCTCATTATTTCCATTCTGAACGTTCCATTTCCAGTAATCTAGATTTCCTGCACCCTTACCTTCTCATCTTTTTGTTGTTTTCTAAAGTAATTGTTGACCTTTTGGTTTCATATAGATGATTTTTTAAAGGAGCTCAGTCCTCATGGGTGACATTCTTTATTTTGTGAGCCAATCTGTTTTGTAGCTCAAAGGTGACCCCAGGAGATAGTTTCAGTTCAAGGTTTAGAGGGTATCTCAGGCAGTAGTCTTAGGGAGTCCTCTAGTCTCAACCGGTCCAGTAAAACTGAACTTTTTAAGAATTTGAGGTTCTATTCCACATTCTTCTCCCATTCTGTCAGGATCCATCTATTATGACCCTGATCAGAGCAATCAGTAGTGGTAGCTGGACACCATTTAGTTCTTCTGGTCTCAGGGTAGATGAGGTCATGGTTTGTGTAGACAGTTTGTTCTGTAGACTAGCTTCTTCTCTGTGTCTTGTGTTTCCTTCTATCACTTTAGTTCTGGATAAGTAGAGTCTAGTACTTGTATTACTTTATCATTTTTAACAAGCTTGATTTCTTAGTTTCAAAGCCGACAGCAAACTATAGAAGTAAACTGAGGAGAATGAAGGGCTTCTGCTACCAGCCCGAGAGCAAAGAAAGAGACAGGAAAACTATTTTAAAAATTGACCCAAGAGTTCAAGCATGTGGGACTATTTAGCTGGAGGGTTGCGGGGGTAGGGACAAATATCCTTGTAATAAGAATACCATGCAAGTATGCTCACACCACTCCTGGTAGTCTGCAAAGTGATTTCAATATGTGTTTCATGTCAACACCTGCTCAGTGAGGTAAGTTGGGTTGTATTCCTCAGAGTCATGTGGTGATTTGTCAGAGTTGCTTGCAGTGTGTTGGTGCCTGGATTTGAACAGGACCATTTGACTTTTATATCATCACATTTCTACCACCTACTCAACCTCCGCACCTAACAAGGCCAATCTGCAGCTCAGTACAGCCAATATGGAATAGCCAATTAATTGTTAAGTTACATTTTAGGAAGATTTCTGTTCAAAATAGTTAAAATTGAAAGCATAGCTCTTCAGAATGACTTATTCCTGTGTGAGCCATATTTTCCATACCTACAATCAGGACATGGGTGCTTTTACTACACAGTATACTGAAAGTAGGGACTGTCTTCAAAGAGCAAAGCTTCATGACCACTGTCCTTAGTTTCCAAAGATTCTAGAGAGTCCCATGCCCCAAAGATCTTTCCTCTTTCTTATTTCTTATATTCGTTTGATACTGTTAATGTGAAACACATAGCTAAATCCCCTAATGTTGGCACTGTAAATGACTCCCCTAAGTAGCCCTCCCTTTTTTCCACAGAATAGCCTTTGAAGACTTTTAGTGGGGAATACCTTGGAACTTTCTAAGAGAGCTATTTTCTGGCATGGGAAAATGGAAAACTCTAGACTGTCCTGGCATCACTTTAAAGCAAGATCTGAACATGAGGGGCCAGGAAGGACTGGATCTTTCCAATAAAAGATGATCCATTAACCTACCAGATTTTATTTTTTTTAATTTTTTGTTTTGTTTTTGTTTTTTGTTGTCTTGTTTTTCTGTCCCTCATTCTCCCTCCCTTGCTATGTCTTGCTCTGTCCTGCTTGCTGTCTCTTCCCACATCAACAGGTGAGAAGCCCCACCAATGCAGCATCTGTTGGCGTTCCTTCTCCTTAAAGGATTACCTTATCAAGCACATGGTGACACACACAGGAGTGAGGGCGTACCAGTGTAGCATCTGCAACAAGCGCTTCACCCAGAAGAGCTCCCTCAACGTGCACATGCGTCTCCACCGAGGGGAGAAATCCTATGAGTGCTACATCTGCAAAAAGAAGTTCTCCCACAAGACCCTCCTGGAGCGACACGTGGCCCTGCACAGTGCCAGCAATGGAACGCCTCCAGCGGGCACACCCCCAGCAGCCCACGCTGGTCCCCCAGGTGTGGTGGCCTGCACAGAGGGGACCACTTACGTCTGCTCCGTCTGTCCAGCAAAGTTTGACCAAATCGAGCAGTTCAACGACCACATGAGGATGCATGTGTCTGACGGATAAGTAGTATCTTTCTCTCTTTCTTATGAACAGAACAAAACAACAAAAAGAAACAAACAAACAAAAAAAAGCTATGGCACTAGAATTTAAGAAATGTTTTGGTTTTGTTTTTACTTTCTGTTTTTGTTTTTGTTTTGTTTCATTTTGTACTACATGAAGAACTGTTTTTTGCCTGCTGGTACATTACATTTCTGGAGGCTAGGGGGAACAATTTGTTTTCCCAGTCTCCCTCGGATGGTGGCCTTAAGGCCTGGTAGTGCTTCAAGAGGTCCACTGGTTGGATCTCTAGCTACTGGCCTCTAAATACAACCCTTCTTTACAAAAAAATCTTTAAAAAAAAAAGTAAAAAAAAAATTTTTTTTTTCACTTGTGAAGAGCACTACAAAAATATATAACAAAATTTAAAAGGCCTACTGTCTTTAAGTACACCGCTTGCAGTGTTTCAGTGGACATTTTCACAATTCTGGCCGCTTGGACTTCACAGGAACCAGGTAAAACTGTGGAATATCACTTCTGGTTGAAAACCCAGAGGAAAGGCCCTGCTGTTTTCCACCAACCACGCTGTCTGATTTCATAAAAGGGCTGTGGGGGTGGGAAGGGTTGTGGGTGCGGTAGTGTGGGAAAGGCGAATGGCAGGCTTCTCTCCCAGATTCTGCTCGCGTCCACACCCCCGGGCCTGCCTCCTCAGTATCCCCCCCTTACAGCAGAAGCCAGGAAGACTTGAACAAGCAACAAGCAACAGTGGCTATCGTATTTATTCAGTGTCTTCGCTGAGGCTCAGCCTCAGCACAATCAAGAGGGACTTTCATGAAAGGCAGGAATGCAGCTAAAACAAAGATATCAGAGGTTTGCACCTACGTTTCTAGGTACAAGAGAAAGATTATTTCCAACAATCTTTGCAAAAAAAAAAAAAAAAAAAAAAGGTCAGGATATATTCTTGTGGAAGAGAAAAAGAAAGAAATGGAGGGTGGGGGGGATTAAAAAAAGTTCTTGAGGCTTTTTTAATTCAAAATTTTATAGAGGGGCAAAAGTGATGTTTACCAGATAGAATGCTGATTTTTTTAATATATTTACAACAGTATTTGTGTAAAAAAAAAACAAAAAAAGTGAGATTGTTAAAAGTAACTTTTTTTTTTTTTCGTTTTGGTTTTTGCATACACTGCCACCAATCCCTTCTCTTTTATTTTATTTCACACACATATACATATATTTTTTGGTAAGTCAAGACTGTTAAGGTTAGCGATACTGCTTCCAGATAGAGAGAATAAGAGGCAACTAGAGTTATATTTGAAAGAGAGGAAGGATATTTTCTTCATATTTTTTTTAATTTTTCTTAATTTTTATTATTTTAAGTATTGCCTGGGTTGATAAGGGCCTCCAGTGGCCCGCCATCCCTGCTGTAATTTGAACTGCTGCTTTGTATTTTGATATGTAGTTCTTTGACTTTTAGCAAGCTTAAGTTGCTCCACTGAATTTTTTTTTTTTTCAACTGATCCATCTAGAATTTCTTTTCATCAGAGGGACTTTATCTTTCAGAAACAGATTTCTTGCTTCTCCAAAAGTTCATTGAGATCTTATGATTCTATAATTTCTATTAACTGTACTCTTTTCTTTGATGAAACACTAGTAGTAGTCTACAGGTCTTGACAAGTGGGTTCCTTTCTTTTGTGGTCAGCCAGGAGGAGGAATTCACAGAACTCGGCCATACCTCCTCACCCTTGGCAACTATAAGAGAGCATCCTTATCCGAAGCCAGTTACAGATCAAGATGCATTGATGCCAAAATTACTTTCTTCCTTTCAAAGTATCACCTTCAGACTATCTCCAGCATGAATGAGAAGGCAAAATAAGATGATCATTCTTTAGATGATTTCTTAACTTTGCTGTTTTGGAAAGATTTTAGGGAAATTAGTAAAAATTCCCCAGAGGCCAACATCCATCATTCAAAAGGCCACCAACCATTGCATCATCCTCGATGCCACTCTCTCTCCCTAGTCAGGATTTCTCTCCTCGGTCCCAATCAAGGTGTTATAATAGAGATTTTTCCACTATAGACAGTGTCCTGAAGGGATTCCAACTCAAATACAGGAATTCTTAAACCAAACTAAAACTCTAAAAATGATTTCATTGTTGGGCATATTTTACACATTTAAGGGAAAAAAGTGTTTCTTAAATTAGAGGCACCAAACTATAATTTAAAAAATGAAAAGAGAGTATTTTAGTTTCAATATTACTTTGCATTTTAATTTAATTTTCCTTCTAATTTTCTTGTCAGTATTTTATTTACAAAAACGGTGCAGCAAACGAGGGAAAATCTTCCAAGGCAAGCAACTCTATAATGACTAAACTGGTTTCATTCATAATTTTAGACCTTTGGTTAACTTGGATATTTTCCAAATGTTCTTTATGATGTATAATAGGGTTAGTACAACTGGAGTTTGTTTAGCTTTGATTTGGTCTTATAGTCCTTAAATCAACAGATATTTTGCTAGAAGTTTTAATATAGACTTGGAAGGTTACTTGACTATGAGTATCATCAACAGTGGTTTCTAAAAGGAGTTTTGCCAAGAACTGTGTGTCCAAAATTGACCTGTTTTAAAAGTTAGTGTGAACCAGCTTCAGAAATAAGAAAAAGCCCATTTCTCTATTGCTAATTTTGTTTTTTAAAATTCCAATGTTGTAAACTAATATTTCCACTACCACCAATAGAGGGAGCATTAGTTAATTGTCATGGAATTGTTTTGATATTTTAAAAAAAACAAATTATTCAACCCATGAAATAAATAAAAAGACTGAAATTCACCAATTAAGAAATAAGTTTTAAAATCTAGAGGAAAATGACATAAAATCACTTAGCATATGTTACAAATGAAAGAATGCCAGAAGCCACTTTAAAATATTTCTGACGATTTGATAATAGCCCATTTAAAATAGTGTCTTTATTCAAACCTCAGCAAAATTGGCAGAATTTATAATACTTCTGGAAAAGAAAATCTTGGGTGCCATTGTGGGCCTCATTTAACTATCTGCTTCTAAAATCTAAGGGAAACCCATTTGCCATAATGCTGATTTGTCGTATAAAAGGCTAAGCAATTGGGTTAAAATCCACCTTTTGTCATAAAACATGTAGGAAGAAAGTTCCAGCTGAGTCTGAAACCCCTGATGTTCATCCAGTCCCTGCGAAGGAGGTCTCTCTCTCTGTTTTTTTTAATTCTTGGTAAGAAGATACAACCTTGTAGTCCATGACAGCATGACTTGTTCCTACTGTGCATCTATTGCCCCAAACACCTCACAGCCTAAAATAGTCACCAGATTGTTCTCTGGAGAGAGGAAGGAGCTAGACTGGAGTGGGGGGGTGGTGTCTATGATGGGGGCAGTGACGTTGCTGTGGGGCTGTTACTGTATGTCCTGGCCCCTGAAGGAGCTGCTTTCCAAACCGGCACACATTTTAAAAAGTAAACCAGTCTGTACCTATTTTGAAAGCGTAGAGATGTTTTTAGATTGGTGATACTTAAACCATTTAAATGAAACAATCACAAACATCTTAGGAAATGTAGAAGTACATTTTGCTTTGAGATCAGAGGATAAGCATGGATCCTTTCTTTCTATTGGTTTCAATTGCAACAACCTTCTTATGTTTAGAACTTCATGCCAGAATAGTATGAATGCTAAAGTCGGTTTTTTTGTTTTTGTTTTTTCAGTGTCCAGGAAAAAAATATGAGATAAATAGGAAGTGAATATTCCAGATTTAAGACCTCTTAGAAAGAATACAGGAAACAAGAACTGGTATGGAAAGTAACTTTTATTTATTTATATTTTAGCAGTTTCTGATTTAAAAACTAAATTTAACAAGAAAAAGGAAAAAAGTCAAAGGGGAAAGATTATCTCAATAGAGTTCATGAAAAATAAAATTTTCCTGTGCTAAAAACATTGGTAGCATCTCAGTATGGTGGGCAATTTTCCTTTCCAATTAAATGCCAATGTTTATACCAAAAAAAAAAAAAAAGCCCTCAAATGCGTAAACTGTAATCCTAAAAAAGAAAGAAATTTTGAACAGGATCTGATATAAATCTATTCACAGGGAAAGACTGAGAAATAAGTCAGGCAAACAAATCTGTTGAATGAAAGTCTCTATATCAGATATTTTTTACTATTTATATTAATTGAGTTATAAATGTTTGCTCCTTAATGATACTTTTACAGACTTTTCCCTCCCAAAATTCCTGATCTGTGGCAGGCCTCAACTCCCAGTGAGTAAGCGTGGTGGGTAATTTCCTGCTCTTGTTCTGGCTGCAGTCCATTGCTTCTTCCCAGCCATCTTGGATGTCACAGTAGCTCCTGGTCTTAGAAAGACTTGGGTTTGCTTTGTTTAAAAGTCACGGAGGTTTTATTTTGTATCATCACAGTATTCTGTAAGGAACCTCAACACCCTTTCCTAACCTGTGAATGGTAGAAGTTCCTGCATTCTGATAATGCAAAGAGCGCAGGTTTCCTCCAGGTATGTTTCTCTCGTGTGAGTCCTGATGCCTTGACCTATGTGTACTTCCATCTCACAAGCACACCAGAGGTCTGTGCCCAGCCCTACCCCAAATCAGTGGTTTCCCTCAGCACAGAAGTTGAAAATGGGGCATGCCCTCTATAAAACCCGTCAGATCCCTGAGAGAATATAGTAAGGGCTAATGTTGCTTTCTTGTGGAGGCTCCTCCATAATGCTCCCAACACCTGTTGCCCTTAGGAAAGGCAGGATTGAGGTAGATCTGGCAAGGAATCACTGTGCCTACTTTGGAGCCTCCCACTGTTGTTTCAGAAGACGTTATTGAATTAGCTAGGGCTGGGAGCAGTGGAATATGTGATTCTGCAGAAAAGGTTTCAGATAATCAAATCAGTCTGCCTCTGCTACAGCCGGTGTGCTTCTGCAGCAGAAGGAAACACAGTGAAGGTGCAGCATCAGAGCAGGCCCCACCAGAGATGCCCTTGGGATTTAGGAGAACAGGAGATACCCTTTCTGCTGTGACCTGACTCTTAAAAGAAATCTTCTAAAAGAATTCTTTAATTTAATAATGAGTTGAAGTCCAGGTTAATGGAAGCCCTAGGGAAGAGAAAAAAAGGACTGAGAAGTGTATTCAGCACCCAACAATGCTAAACCAGAAAACACCCAACCACAAAACTAGGAGCTTTGGCAAGAGGTATTTAGAGAAATCTCTGGACTTTTCCATGCTTAGGAGCGACAGACTTTCTTTTGAGTGATTCTGGCTGGCTCTGAGAAATCTCTTTACTCACAAGAAAAGAACTTTATTTAAATGGCCAGTTTTGACCTCCAGAAAAAGAAATTAAAAAAGAAAAATAGAACACTAAAGACAGAACCATGTGACCTGGCGACAAACAAAATGAAGGACACACTTGAATCTGAATAGACTCCCTAATTCCATAGTAAAAGCAAGGCAACCCAATGCCTCCCAAGCCTGGAGATACTCCGTGCCTGAAGAGAGAGTGAGCTGACCCAGCCAGCGGGCTTTCTGAGCTAGACAGAACTTCACAACTGGGAAGGCAGCAGCCTATTTCTCCTCTCTACGTTTTCATGAAAGAAAAAGGCTGTTCTCTTAGGTGCCCAGGAAATAGATAATGTGGGGCAAACTTCCAAAAGCCATCCCTACCTTGGTGCTCAGGCTGCAAATGGAGATGAAAAGAGGGACACAGAAGAGCTTTTGCTCTAGAGAAAGAATATTTTTCATGTTCCCAAGGGCTCTCTGTGTGGAGCTGCCATTTCTGATACTGCTTAAATCTACACAAGAGGAAGGGCTGTGGTGACTCAGTGTTCCTATGAACACACAATGTGGAATTACTAACGCAAAGCGTCATTCTGGCACTAGGTATCAAAGTGACCAGCCTGACCAAAATACCCCAAAGATTTTTCTAAGTCTGT